GTAAAAAGTGGTAAGGTACTCTAATTTAGAAATAACATTAAGAAACAAGATTCTCTAGTATAGATAAATACGGAGTAAATTATATATAAAAATTAATAAACACGTCATTCATGTTTCATATTAGGAACACGTGTACTGTGTGCATTATGATTATTATTTAAATATTATTCTAACATACTGTCGTTAGTGACTGTCAACATCATCTGGTGAAAGGCTTAGGCTGAAAACGTTGTTTAATAAACAAGCTTCTATATTAACATATATCTAGTGTTACTATGTTGATCCGATAGTTTTGACGCTAGTTATTTTAAATACACGCTTCACAAGCATTTAACCATGGGCTAACTGCTAACAGCAGTGTTAGCACAGTTAATAATTATTGCCAATACGTTATTACTTTCTTCGAACGTGCATGCTGAACTATGGGTGATATCATGCTACGTATGATGCTCTTTGACTCAGAACTAATTACAATAGGCGAACTATCAGTATAATAGTTACTGTTAGTATAGCGACATCTGGTTCGGTTCGAATCCAATACTAAAATAATCAGAAAAAACGGAATCTGGCGGTAACGAAAAAATTCTCATGTTTGAAACATACATAAATGAATTCTAAAAATGCATACATACAGTATTTGAAATAATTGTGGAAACGATGAGAAAAAGTGATATAAAGGGCAAATATTCCGAAGATGGCACTCCCTTTATCGTGTGAAAATGAACAGCACAGAGTAGTCACTGTTGATAGCTTACACTATTGTTAGTTGTCAAACCAATAAGAAAGAGCCACAACAGCATAAACCTATAAAAGTACAGGTAGTAATACTATGCCTAGTAGTAGTAGTAGTGTAGTCACAGCTGCCAACACTGAAAAAATGCATGAAGTGCATGTAAAAATCAACGTTTTGGCTGCTGAATGGTACTTCATACAAACAATTAGGCAAGACTGTTTTACGTAGGAGTTGTATGCAAGATTGTGAAAAAGGTACGTGAAATTGTCACGGTTTATAAAAGATTATAGACATGATCAATGTAGGAAACCGAAACTCTCCAACGTGATAAATATATTCAGATTAGATTATTTACAAGATAAGAGAGCGATGGTAGATTACAAGGCTTGCCAACGACCTTGTTGTAAATATACTTGAAGATGTTACATTAACGCAAAGTGATCTCAATAAACGTGTAACTGATCGAAAATCACTATTAAGAAGAGGCAACGCAATAAAACCAAGGGGTTGAAAAGAACATCGTATCACAAACAGTAAACGACAATGCTGAGGACGTGTGTCCTTTACAGATGCATCCGGGTTCAAGTTATTGGGCAACAAAGTGATGAGTGTAACGGTATCATAGTCAGTGTAAAACATTAAGTTAAAGTGAGGCATAGTTGAGGATCTGTGCAAGTTCTGGGTGGTATCTCAGACAGTGGTATTGATATAGAAAAGCGGATGTCACCTTGACACTGACAACATAGTGGAGGATCTGTGCAAGTTCTGGGTGGTATCTCAGACAGTGGTATTGATATAGCAAAGCGGATGTCACCTTGACACTGACAACACACAGTGGAGGATCTGTGCAAGTTCTGGGTGTTATCTTAGACAGTGGTATTGATATAGAAAAGCGGATGTCACCTTGACACTGACAAGTGCACGAAGATTCTGATCCATCACACAAAACAATGATCCCAAGCATTTACAGCATATTTGGGAAAAAATGATACATTGACGGTAAAAGGTTGTTGAAACAGTCATGCCCATGAGAAACGAACAAAAAAAAACTTAGCTGAATTGTGAGGAATAATAAAATATTACCACAATCATATATTGGTAACCCGTATGACAGCATAGAAACAAGGCGTATTGCTCTGTCTAAAGCAAAATACAACAGTACTTTTTACATTAATACATTCACCATATATATATATATATATATATATATATATA